GTTTCCTTATGTTAAACATTTGATGTTCAAGAATAGATTGCAATGGATTTTCATTATTTAAAAGACATTTATAATAATAATGTGTGTTTTTTTTATTTCGAAATACATTTAAAATGGATTGCAATGCTTTCATTTCAAAGAACTATATTTTAAAATGGATTTTGGTATTTTTTTCGCTTTAATTTTTCCTTTAAAACGACATTCAATACCACATTTGCTATAGTAGTTAAAAATTTTTTTTCTATTTAGTTGAAAAATCGAATTTGATTTTTCCTTTTTAAAAATTGCAATAGATTCTTAAAAAGTTTGTTAAAATCATGGATTGCAATGAATTTCCTTATTCTTTATTTATTAAATAATTGTATTATAATTATATATTTGATTAAATCGGTTGCAATGTTATCTTGTATAATATTTTTATTATAATTATTAATATTTGATTAAATAATGGATTGCAATGTTTATTTTATTAATAGATTAAATAATTTGTTTCCTTACATATGCAATGGATTTGCGATGTTCTTTCCATTTTTGGGTGTTAAAATCAATTTTTTTTTCTGCAATGCTATTTTATTTAATTAATTTCTATTTTTTTGGTTGTTAATTAAAAATTATAGATTGCAAAAAATTGTGTTATTATTTTCTATAGGAGAAAAAAAATGTCCGCAAAAAAGAAAAATTAACGATGGGAATTATTTTTGGAAAATTTTTGCAAATAAATTTCTGTTAATTTTAAAGTATCGATAAAACCCTGTTTATTTCGATTTTTTTTTCTTTTTAGATCGAAAGAAATCGAGATAAATCGAAATAAATTGAAATAAAAGGAAAAAGGGAAATAAATAGGGTTTTTTTTTGAAATATTTAACTCACTTTTTTTTTGTATATACGTAAGTTTGGCGATGCTTTCTTTTTTGTGGTGATTAAATATTTTTTTTATCTACTTTGAATGTAATATATATATGGAACATTCCTAGTGACACTGGCACACTAAAAAAAAAGACTAGAAATTACATCGCTTGATTTCGAATCGAATTTTTTAAAATTTTCAGTAATTTTATTTTTTTTTCTCACTTTTCGCAAAAAGATTCCCCGGAAATTTTTTTTTTTGCAGACTGTGAAAAAGCACACGATAGAGGCATCGTGATTTTTTTCTATTCTACGATAGAAGAAAAGAGAGGAAATTAATGTTAAAAATAAAAATCGGTAGTACACGACCAGATAAAAAGAAAAAAGAAAAAGTAAAAATCAGCTGAAAAAATAGAAAGAAAAATTAAAAGTAAAGAAGAAAAAATCAAAAATACCACAGAAAAATAATTTTAAAAAATCAATTTTCCGCTTATAGAATACTAGAAAAGGAAAAATTATTAATTATTACGTTTCAAGACTCTTCTAGTCTCAATTTAATATTTTTCTCTTCTTTTTATTTTCATCTTGAAATATTTTTTTTCTTCCAAGAAAACTGAATTCTCCGCGATGTTCCTTTTTTGGAGAATAAAACTCGTTAATTATTTTCGTGACAGTCGATTCTTACTTCTACTTTTTTGGTTGGAATTTTTTTATTCTTTTTTTTTAATATTTTTGGGAGGAGGTAAAATGTTGAATAGCTCGAATAAATAATCGATTTGTTCGTTGCTCTTCTTTTTGGGGGAAATTAGGGGAGGGGAAGGGGTCTCTTTTTCCAAAAAAGAAAAAATTATCGGACGAGACCTGACGCTTAAGATTTTAACAATCTATTTGTGCGCTTATAAAGTATGTGATCCTATCATTTTTTTTCTTTTTTTCCTTTTGCTTTTAAATAACGCTAACAACAATGCTACCAGTTTTTTATTATATAACTTTCGGATAAAAATAGATTCGAAAAAAAATTTTTTCCCTTTTTGTTCGAGTCCATTTTTTTCTCTTCGAATTAAAAGTTTCACTTGTGAGATGAATTTGATTGAAATTAAAACTTTTTATTAAAATTAGAAAAGAGTTTTATTCAAGTTGAATTTTTATTTAAGTTATAAATAAAAAAATAAATAAATAAAAAATATATGAAAAATAAATAGAAAAAAAAAATAAATTATAAATTAATTCTATTCGAATTAAAATAATTATTAAAATTATTTACGAATTTTAGGTTCGTAAATAATCGTAAATTAAACAAAAAATAAAAGTAAAATACTTATTTGAATTAGTTACGAATTTTAATAAAATTAAATTTTTATTAGAGAAAAAATTCATCAAAAGTAAATTTTAATTAGAGAAAAAATTCATCAAACAAAATTTAAATTAGAGAAAAAATTCATAAAATTTTAATTTTAATTAGAGAAAAAATGCATAAAATATAAATTTTTAACATATAAAAAATAAAATTAAATTCGAAATAATTTTTCAAGAAATGAAATGATTTTGACTCGGTACAAAATATTCTTCTTCATCATTTTTTTTTGTTTCTCATGTTCTTGTAAAAAATTGGTAAAAAAAAGACTAGTAGCGAAGATTAAAGCGTGCGTTGTATTGTACTCGATTATATCTCTTCTCGATATTATTTTTTTTTTATTATTATTTTTATTATTATAATTATTATTATAATTATTATTATTTTCTTTTTTCTTTCTAAATAGAATTTAACAGAATTCAGATTAACCAGTGCCATTCTAATACAATTAACATCTTATTTCGTAATTTCTTTATCTGTCAGTGAAAAAGCTTCTTTTTTCTATTATTGTTTTTTTTTCTCTACTGTTTATTATTATTATTATTATTATTATTTTTTTTGGTAGTTTTTTCTTGACGTGCATCTAGCATATCTTTTGACTGACACTAATAAAAATTTACATTCGATACATTTATTTTGCTGGGGAGCATCATTATAATTTTTATTTTATTTTTTTTTTAATTTATTGTGAGTATTAATGGTCTCAACGCCGAGGGAACTTTTTCTCACTGCGCCGATATAATGGACAACACAATAAGTGTCGTGTAAACGAGAATATAATTTGTTGATTGCAGCAGAGACATGTTCATTGTTGAACCCTTGAACCAAAAGGTCAACCTTTTTTTTTTATTTTTCTTATTGCCAATAATTTTCTTTTTTCGTGTCAAGCTGATTCAGTGTCGAATCCACATGAGAAAAAAAAATTCATTCCCAAATCTCTTTTTCGATTTTTCGAATCATGATTATTAACTTTAATGACAAATCATTTTTTCATTTTTTCTTCTAGTTCTCTACAATTTTTTCATAAAACAGAAAAATAATTATAAACTCGAAGTAAATATTCGCAGGATAATTAATTACGAATTAATCAGTAATTAATTATTTCTCATATAATCGAATATTTAAATTGATAATATAATTATTATATTTATTACTATAATAATTACATCAATATTAATTATTATTATTAATATAATATAAGTATAATTATAATAATTTCTATTATAATTATAATATGACAACAATTATCTTAATTATAATAATTATTACAATTATAATCATTACTGTAATAATCTTCGTATAATTATAATTATTAGTTAAATAATAATTTCAATTAATTAATTAATAATTTTATGAATTATTAATTATTAATTATTAATTATTAATTATTAATTATAATTGTTAACTATAACTGATAATTATTTTCGTGTAAAAAAATTAATTAAATTTTTTTTTATCGTGTAACGATAAGTTTTGTTCGACAATTAATTTTTTTTTTTCCATAATAATTGTCGTTGATTTTCAATTAAATGGGAAACGGGAAAAATATTGCACTAATTGATGGATCATAATTGCGGCATTTTCTTTATGATTATAATCATCTTAACATTTATAGAATCATTTTTATGAATACAAACATATTTTAATCATTATAATCATCATTTATGTTTATATAATCATTTTATGATTATAATTCAATATCAGAGTTTTGCAATAATTTTTGTTTCACAATAATATTTTTGAACACGTTTCGCATCTCTTTTTTTTTTGAGAAAAAAAATCATTTTTTTTTCAAGATTATTTTTTCACCCTTTTTTTCTTCTTGTTTCATAAATTTTTTGGTAATAAAATTATTTTTAACGTTTGTAAATAATTTTTTTTATAATTAATGAACGCGTTTGTAAATAATTTTTTTTTTAGTATCATTTTGATCTTTTTTCGTTAAATAATATAATTTTAACGGATTTTAACATATTTTATTCATAATTTTTATTAATATAATTATTTTTATGTTTATAACGATTAACTGGTAGAATATGCAATAAATTTCAATCTGATAAGTTTTGCAATTAAATTTCTGCAGTTTGCAATTTTATAATAAGTTTTGCATTTTGATTTTGTTTTTTAAATTTAAAATTTGCAATATAATTTCAATTCGATAAATTTAAAAATGTCAATAAATTTTAAGTTTTGAAATTAAATTCAAAAAATTAAATTTGTGATTATTTTTCTGTTTTAAAATATTTGTCTTTTTTTTTTTTGCTGTTGTTTCAATTTGCAGTTAGAAGAGAAATATGATTCGAGAATGAATTTTTTCTTCTACAAAAAATTATTCGATTTGGAAATAAGTCATTAATTTGTTATTTTTAATAATTAATTTTCGAATAAAAATTTTTTTTTTAATTTACAATTTTTTTTAAGTTTCAATTTTTGGGTATATTTATTTTTCCCTTTGCTTTGTAATTTTGAATAGGGGGAAAAAATCCGAAAATTTGATAAAAATTATCGAAAGACTTCACTCGTTTCGATAATTGCTTTTTATTTATTAAATAATCATTGGCAAATAAATAATTATTCATTTTCCAGGATTCGGATTAAATTTTCCCTAATTTTTTTTAGTAATTGTTAGTAATTTTTTCTAATTATTTCTATTTGTTAGTTTTTTAGTCAAATTTTATAATTTTAAAAATTTTACCTCTGAGAAAATAAATTGGAAAAATAATTTCTTGGATTCGTCACTTGGTTGACCTTTGGTTTCGGCAAATTTTCCTCATCTTCCGAAAGACTTTTTTTTTTAGCGATATGTTCGAAGCATTTTGTTTTTATTTTTTCTTTCAAATTATCTCCCAATTATTCTCTTCTATTTTTTTTTGTCTTTTGGGGAGAATTATTTTTTTACATGTCGCCGAAAATTCCAGCGAAAGTCTTGCGAAGATTTTTCATTGTGTCCTCGGAATCTTCATTTTGACTCTGGGACTGACTTCCTTGTCGATGGAATGGTGCCCTTGTGGGTGGTGGTTCCTCGGGACGACGACCAGCCGATGTAACACTGCTTACAGTACTCGATTGCGATGCTAAAGGGGACAATATTAATTACATGTCTTTTATTTTTTTATTATTTTTTTATTTTATTGTTCTTTTATTATTATTGTTGTTCCCAAAGGGCAAATAAAAGTGGAAGTAGAGAAAAAAGATGAGAAAACAAAAGGGGGATTTTTTTATGAGAATTCAAGAAGGGGCGGTTGAAATAAACATTTTTTTTCTCTCTCTCTCTCTCTTTGGAATTTTAACGCTGTGAGGCATTTCATTTTCTCTCGAATCCATTATTATAATTGTAATTCGTTTTTTATTCAAATGATCAGACCTCCTACAAAGCTGCAAAGCTATTATGGAAAGAAATCGTTTTTCTTTTTTTTTCTTGGAAAATTTTTTCATTTTTTATCAACAAAATATTAAGGACTAAAAAAAAGTAATAAGAATTTCAATTTTTACTTCCTTTTTTTAGCAACAAAATAGTAAAGAATAAAAAATAATAAGAATTGCAATTTTTTTTTCTTGGAAAATATTTTCTTTCTTTTTTTACCAAAAAAATATTAATGAATAAAAATATAAAAAAATTGCAAATTTTTCTTTTTTTTTCTGCTTTTTTAGTAACAAAATATTAAAGAATAAAAAACAATAAGAATTGTAATTTTTTCTTTTGGATAATATTTTCTTCCTTTTTTATAAAAAAAATAATAAGGATTACAATTTTTTCTTTTTTTCCTTCTCTTTTTAGCAACAAAATATTAAAGAATAAAAATATAATAAGAATTGCAATTTTTTTTCTCTTGGAAAATATTTTATTCCTTTTTTATCCAAAAAAATATTAAAGAATAAAAAAATAATAAGAATTGCAATTTTTTCTTCCTTTTTTTAGCAACAAATTATTAAAGAATAAAAATATAAAAAGAATTGCAATTTTTTTCTATTGGAAAATATTTTCTTCCCTTTTTATCCAAACATATATTAAAGAATAAAAAAAATAATAAGAATTGCAATGTTTTCTTTTTTTTCTCCCCTTTTCAGTAACAACAAATATTAAAGAATAAAAGTATAATAAGAATTGCAAATTTTTCTTTTTTTTCTTCCTTTTTTAGTAACAAAATAGTAAAGAATAAAAAATAATAAGAATAGCAATTTTTTTTTCTTGGAAAATGTTTTCTTTCTTTTTTATCAAAAAAAAAAAAAAAAAATATTAAGGGCATTTGAACCATGATGACGTCACAGATTTAAAACTAATGCTTTGCACAAACTGTGACGTCATCAAGGTTCAAATCCCCTTAAAGAATAAAAAAAATAATAAGAATTGCAATTTTTTCTTTAATTTTTTATCAACAAAATAGTAAAGAATAAAAAATATTAAGAATTGCTATTTTCTTTTCTTGGAAAATAATTTCTTCCTTTTTTAGCAAAAAAAATATCAAAGAATAAGAAAATAATAAAAATTGCAATTTTTTCTTTTTTTTCCTCCTCTTTTTAGCAACAAAATATTAAAGAATAAAAAATAATAAGAATTTGCAATTTTTTATTCTTGGAAAATTTTTTCATCCTTTTTTTTAGCAACAAAATATTAAAGAATAGAAAAAAATAATAATTAGACTTTCATTTCTTCTATGAAATTTTTTTTTTAAACAACAAAGCAGTAAAGCCAGTTTAAAATTTTAAATAAACATAATTTCAAATTTTCGGATGAATTTAATTATTAGGTTTATGAATCTCAAAATTTAGAAGGGAATTAAAATTAAATTATTGATTAGCTTTTATTCTGAGGAATGAAAAGCAATTTTCTCATCAATAAATTTTTCTCATTTTTCAATGAATTTTCATTGTCATTTTTCTTTGACAGGTAAATTTCAAAGAAAGATAATGAAAAATTTTCCCGATAAATCTAATTATAAATTAATTATTTTATCAATAAAATAATAAGCCATTGAATTGCAAAAAAAAAATAAATAAATTTTCCTATGAAAATAATTGTTAATTAACTTATTGTCAATAAAATAATTAGCTTTTAAATTTGAAACAAAGAAATTTGCAATTTTCAGGTGAATCTAATTATTAATTAATAGAAAAAAAATTTACCTAATAAAAGAAGAAATTAATAAAAAATTGTTTAAAAAGAAGCTAAACAAAGATTGGAAGAATATTCTAAATTGTTTAAATTTACACGAACCGATTATTAATTAATTAAAAAAAAAATTATTTTAAGGAAGTAAAAACCAACAAAAATCGAAAAATTCTACTTAAATTAAGACCCAAGAGTAAATTGTTTATTAAGTAAATTATTTATTATTTAAAAATAAATTAATTTGGTAAAATCGAAACAAAAAAAATTGATAAATTCTATTTTAATTTAGACTTGAAAGTGAAATTTTTATAAAGTAAACCGTTTATTAATTAAGAAATAAATTAATTAAATAAAATTGAAACTAAAAAAGTTAAGAAAATCTAAATTATTGTTGATTATAATTATTTATTAGTTAAAGAATAAATTAATTTAATAAAATCGAAACTAAAAATATCGACAAATTCTATTTTAATTTAGACTTGAAAGTAAAATTTTTATAAAGTAAATTATATAAAGGTATTAATTAAGAAATGAATTAACTAAATAAAATCGAAACTAACAAAGTTTATAAAATCTAAATTATTTTGATGGATACGAACTTAATTATTAATTAACAAAAAAACTTAATTTAAAAAAATAAAAACCAATAAAAATTGAAAAATTCTATTTTAATTAAGACTCAAAAGTAAATTGTTTATTCAGTAAATTATTTATTAGTAAAAAATAAATTAATTTGATAAAATCGAAACTAAAAAAATCGAAAAATTCTATTTTAATTTCGACTTGAAAGTAAAATTTTTATAAAGTAAATTATACATTAATTAAGAAATAAATTAATGAAATAAAATCGAAACTAACAAATTTTAGAAAATCTAAATTATTTTGATGGATACGAACTTAATTATTAATTAACAAAAAAATTAATTTAAAAAAATAAAAACTAATAAAAGTTGATTGTATTTTAATTTAGACCCAAAAGTGAATTTGTTTATAAAGTTTATAAGATTGTTGATTACAATGTAAATGATTTATTAGTTAAAAAATAAATTAATTTAATAAAATCGAAGAATTCCAGTTTAATTTAGACCTGAAAGTAAATTGTTGATAAAGTAAATTATTTGTTAATTAATAAAAAAAATCAATTTAATAAAATCAAAAAATTCTATTCTAATTTTAATTTAGACCCGAAAGTAAATTGTTTATAAACTAAATTATTTCTTAATTAAAAAAAATCAATGTAATAAAATCGAAACGAAAAGAATCGAAAAATTCTATTTTAATTTAGACCCGAAAGTAAATCGTTTATAAAGTAAATTATTTCTTAATTAAAAAAAATGAATTTAATAAAATCGAAACCAAAATAATCGAAAAATTATTTTTTTATTTGGACCTGAAAGTAAATTTTTTCTAATTTAAATTATTAATGAATAAATAAATTAATCAAATTAATCAAACTTATTGTGGGGAATTCTAAATTATTTCAATTCATACGGACACAATTATTAATTAATTAGAAAAGTAATTAAATTAAGAAAGTAGAAATTCAAACTAAAAATTGAAAAATCTCTTTCCAAAAAATCAAAATATTTCTACCAATAAAAAAAGAATGAACAAAAAAGAGAAACGATTCCATGTACTTTGCTGTAGGTCTGGAGAAAATATTGCAATAATTCTGTTTGACTTGTGGGTGATTTTTCTCATTCGTTTTTTTTTTTTTTTGAGAGAGAGAGAGAGAGAGAGAGAGAGAGAGAGAGAGAGAGAGAGAGAGAGAGAGAGAGAGAGAGAGAGAGAGAGAGAGAGAGAGAGAGAGAGAGAGAGAGAGAGATCAAAGCGGTCTTTGAGGGAATTTCGTGTCAGAAGGTCATTGAAATGAAGACCATCGCATTGTTTTCAGTGTATGGTGAGTGAGTGAGTGAGAGAGCAATATATTACAGAACTGACCTTGTGAATCACGTCGTTGCAGTTGATGATGACTGTCAGAAGAAGTGACGTCACTGACGAGAGCAGGCGTTGAACCCGCGGATCCAAAGCCACTTGTTATTGAGCTAATACTGCCATGGGACCCCAATGCTGCCGATGATGCTGCTGGAGCTGGTGCTCGATCTTCCGATGGACTCGTCACTTGACTAGAGCTCGACATCGACCCTCTTGATGCAGTTTTCGTTAAAACAGCCGGTGGTCGACAGCAGGCCTGTAAAATTCACCATTTTTGCCATTTACAGCGTTTTTTTTCATTTTTTGTTATAATTATAATTAAATCAATTTTTTATCGGGAAATTAAATTTATTATGAAATAATAATAATCTAACTGTGAAATTTAATTAATTATTAATTGACATCTATCTTCCTTCTATATTAATAATCCTTATGTTCCGGTAATCTGTTCCCAATTAGAAGTTAGTTGCTTTTTTGCTTTTTTGTTTCCTAACTTTTTCTTTAATAATTATTCTTTATCAATATTTTCAATTTTAAAATTAATGCATTGAAAATCATTTTTAATTTTTGCAAAAAATTTGAGAATAATTTAATTCCTTCGAAGAATTTTATTATTTATATGAAAATCATTAAATTCTAGAGAAGAATATTTAAAAATTTTTTTAAAAATCATACTTAAATTCTTTAGATTAATTTCTTTGAATTTTTGTAAAATAATAGAGTTTCTTTAATAATTTTAATTGAAAATTTTTTATATTTATGAACAATTTCTTTCAAGTTTTTAAAATAATTCAAGTTTTTATAAAATAATATAATTTATACAAGAAATTTTATAAAAAAATATAGAAAATAATTAAATTCTTTCAAAGAATATAGATGACAATAATTGAATTTTTTGAAATTTTTTTAATTTATTGAAAATAATTAATTTTGTTAATAATTGTAATAAATAATTTTACTATTAAAATTTTATTTAAATTATTAATTGAAAATTAAACTCTTTTAAATAATTTTATTAGAGTTTTTGTAAATAATTAAATTCTTTTAAAGAATTTCTTTAAGTTTTTTTGAAAATAATATAATTTTTTGAATAATTTTCAATGAAAATTTTTAAAATAATTGAATTAAACTAAGAATTTTTTTTAATTTTTAAAATAATCGTGTGTGTAATAATTATAATTGAACATTTGATTATTGAATTTTATGAAAATTGAAAATAATTCAATTCCTGAGAAGAATTTTATTATTTATAAAAATAATTGAATTCTGGCCATTAATTTTACTACTTCTAAAAATAATTGAATTGTTTCGAAGGATTTAATGAAATTGAGAAAAGAATTGAATCTTTCGAAAAATTTTATTAAAAATTTTAAAAAATTCAATTCTTTTGTTAAATTTTATTGACAATAATTGAATTTTTGGAAATTCAATTATTGGAATAATTGGAATAATATTATTGAAATTATTGGAATTTAATTGAATTCTGGCCATTAATTTTACTACTTCTAAAAATAATTGAATTGTTTCGAAGGATTTAATGAAATTGAGAAAAGAATTGAATTCTTTCGAAAAATTTTATTAAAAATTTTAAAAAATTCAATTCTTTTGTTAAATTTTATTGACAATAATTGAATTTTTGGAAAGATTTTAATATTTTAAAAAATAATTGAATTGTTTCGAAGAATATAGATACCTACTATTTGGGCTTCCGTTTCCGGTACCGTTTCGGTGTACACGCGTTTGGAAAGAGTTAAGAGTTTTTTTGAGAAATATAAAGGTTTTAAAAAAGGGTGGGTAATGTAGAGTGCTGAGTGTGTAGTGTAATTTGCGGTAGTGTAAAGGAAAGGTATGTTGGTATAGAGTAGTGAATGTGTGAGTGATAAAAAAGGTAAAAAAGAGAAGTGTGTTTTGTGAGGTTAGGTTGCTTGAAGTGAGAGAGAGGAGAGAGAGACAGTGGAAAAATTTTGAGCATTTGAGTGATAAGGTAGATTTCTGGAATGGCTGAGTTTGACTCAAGTAGTGTTAGCGAGAATGAGAAAAAGGCGCGGGTATTTGAAAGGGGAATAGGAAAGAATGGAAAAAAGATGACGTGTGAGGATTGCATGGATTTGTTAGAATTAGTATGGATGATGAAGGACGCGATGGATGAAGGAGCGAAGAGAGTAAGGGAAAATTTGATGGATATATGTGAGGATGGGGAATCAAGGGACAAAGAGATAGTGGAAATTGAAGAGAGGTTGGAGAAATTGCAGGAAATGTGGAATGAATGGGATAGTAAGTGGAAAAAGGATAAGGAAAGCATGTGGAGAAGAATGAATGGATTAGAAAAATTTATAAAGGAAGTGAATGAGGGGACTGAGAAAGTTGAGGGAAGTGAATATGAGAGGTTAAAGTGGAAAATGGGAGATTTGTCAAGACGAGTGGATGTAGTAGAAAATGAAAAAAAGGAAAAAGAATGTAGTGATCAGAGGTATGAATGTAGGTGTGTTGGAGGGTAAAAGAGCAGTGGAAAAAGTGTTGGCGTGGGTGGGGGTTAATGTCTCAGTGAAAATGGTACAAGCGTTAGGAAAGGGTGAATATGGGGTACCAAAGTTATGGTTGGTGGAGTTGGGTAGTGAGGAAGAGAAAATGGATGTAATGAGGGTGAAAGGAAGACTGAAAGGAAGTGTAATAAGAATAGATGAGGATAGATGTTGGAGAGAGAGAAGAATGCTATGGCTATTGAGAGAAAGAGCGTGGACGGAGAGAGTGAAAGGAAAACAGGTAAGAATGGGTAAGGATTGTATTTGGGTGGATGGGGTAAAGTATGTTGTGGGGGAGGATATGGGTGGAGTGATGGAAGTGTGTAAAGTGTGATAGACAGGTATAGGCTGAGAATGAGGTGAGAAGATTTTGCTTGGATGGATGGATGGATGGATAAAAGTGGATGACTGGAGCGTGTAAGGGAGGTGAGAAAGCAGGTTTTTGAAAAAAGGGTGGGCGAATTGGGTTGAAGCCAGCATGGGCATAGAAGGAACTGGAAACGGAAGCCCGGCACTGGCGATAGGTTAAGAGCGTAAGGTAGAGAGCGTGGAGAGAGTTGCGTTTTTTAGGTTAAGTTGTATGAAGAGAATGTTTAGTTGTAAGGATTTTTGTAAATATAGGTTAAGATTGTTATGTATGTACTTGGGAGTCTCGAACCCTACCTATTGTAGGGAGAGTAAATAAACTATATAGATACCTACTATTTAATGTTTTGACAATAATTCAAATCTTTGAAAAAATTCTTTTAAGGGCATTTGAACCATGATGACGTCACAGATTTAAAACTAATACTTTGCACAAACTGTGACGTCATCAAGGTTCAAATCCCCTTAATTTATTGAATATAATTGATTTTAATAATTATAATAAATAATTTTACTATTAAAATTTTATTAAAATTATTAATTGAAAATTAAACTCTTTTAAATAATTTTATTATAGTTTTTGTAAATAATTAAATTCCTTTAAAGAATTTCATTAAGTTTTTTTTTAAAATAATGTAATTTTTTGAATAATTTTCAATGAAAATTTGTAAAATAATTGAATTAAACAAAGAATGTTTTTGCAACTTTATAAAAATAAAAATATAATCGTGAGTGTTAATAATTATAATTAAACATTTGATTATTGAATTTTATAAAAATTGAAAATAATTCAATTCCTAAGAAGAATTTTATTATATTTATAAAAATAATTGATTTGTTTCGAAAGATTTATTAAAATTTTAGAAACTAATTTAATTCTTTCGAAAAATTTTATTAAAAATTAAAAGAAATTCAAATCTTCTGTGAAATTTTATTAATAATAATTGAACATTTGCAAAGATTTTAATATTTCAAAAAATAATTGAATCATTTCGAAGAATTTATTAAAATTTTAGAAAGTGAATAAATTCTTTCGTGAAATTTTATTAAAATTTGATTGAAAATTATTGAATTTTGAAAAGAAATTTATTTTTTATAAAAATAATTGAATTCTTCCGAAGAATGTTATTATTTATGAAAAAAAATTGATTTCTTGCGAAGAATTTTACTATTTATAAAAATAATTAAATTCTAGCGAAGAATTTTATTAAACATTTTTTAAAATCCTATAATTAAATTCTTTAGTAGAATTTTTTTGAATTTTTGTAAAATAATAGAGTTTCTTTAATAATTTTAATTGAAAATTTTGAAAGTAATTGAAATTTATGAACAATTTCTTTCAAATTTTTAAAATAATTTAAGTTTTTCTAAAGTAATATAATTTATTCAAGAAATTTTATTAAAATATAGAAAATAATTAAATTCTTTCAAAGAATATAGATACTATTTAATGTTTTGACAATAAATAAATTCTTTGAAAAAATTTGTTTAATTTATTGAATATAATTGATTTTGTTAATAATTATAATAAATAATTTTACTATTATAATTTTATTAAAATTATTTATTGAAAATTAAACTTTTTCAAATAATTGTATTAGAATTTTTGTAAATAATTTAATTCTTTTGAAGAATTTCTTTAAGTTTTTTTGAAAATAATGTAATTTCTTGAATAATTTTCAATGAAAATTTTGAAAATAATTGAATTAAACAAAGAATGTTTTTGCGACTTTATAAAAATATAATCCTGTGTGTTAATAATTATAATTAAACATTTGATTATTGAATTTTATGAAAATTGAAAATAATTCAATTCCTGAGAAGAATTTTATTATTTATAAAAATAATTGAATTGTTTCAAAGGATTTATTAAAATTTTAGAAACTCTTATTTAATTCTTACGAAAAATTTTATTAAAAATTTTAAAAAATTCAATTCTTTTGTAAAATTTTATTAATAATAATTGAACTTTTGCAAAGATTTTAATATTTAAAAAAATAATTGAATCGTTTTGAAGGATTTATTAAAATTTTAGAAAATAATTGAGCTGCCGGATCAAAGAAGGGCACATAACCTATTTGAATTACATTGGTTATGTGCCCTTCTTTGATCCGGCAGCTCAATTGAATTCTTTCGAATAATTTTTTGAAAAATTAAAAAAAATTCAATTCTTTTGTTAAATTTTATTGATAATAACTGAATTTTTGCAAAGATTTTAATATTTTAAAAAATAATTGAATTTTTTCGAAGAATTTATTAAAATTTTTGAAAGTAATTAAATTCTTTCTTGAAATATTTAACAAATTTTATTGAAACTAATTGAATTTTTAAAAAAAAATTTATTTATTTATAAAAACAATTGGATTCATCCGAAGAATGTTATTATTTATGAAAATAATTGAATTCTTGCGAAGAATTATATTAAAATTTTTGAAAATATAAACAATGATAATAATTAATTATGAACTTAATAAGAAAATTTTTTTAATTTTGATTATGAAATTACTCAAAACTTTATATTTTAATAATAAAAAATTTTGTAATAAATAATTCATATTAATAATAAATATTATGAATAATAATTATCTTAAAAACTATTCGTTAATTCACTTTAATTAGAAAAAATGTTTCGTTTTAAAATTTTTATATAGTATAATATTGACAAAAAATACAGTTAAACCTTTTTAAGTGAGCGATTGTACAATTGAACACCTCTTTAGACTGTAATTATTTATTTATATTTAGTTAGAAAAATATTTCGTTTTGATTAAATAAAATTGTACAGTTGAACCTCTTTGTATCATTAGTTATTTATATTTTAAAAAAATCTTCCCTTTGGTTATCGAAACTAAGGTACAGTTAAACGTCTTTATTAAGAGAATGATATTAGTTATTGGCACTTAATTAAAAAAATATTTTCGTTTCAATAAAAAAAATACAGTTAAACCTCTTTAAATGAGTAACTGTACAGTCGAACTCCTTTAGAATATTATTTATTTGTGTTTAGCTAGAAAAATATTTCGTTTCGATTAAAAAACAGAATTGTACAGTTGAATCTTTTTGTATTGTTATTTATTTAATATTTTGAAAATTTTTTTTGTTTTGGTATTGAAAAAAATTGTACAGTTGAACCCCCTTAAGGGAAGGATATTATTTATTGGCACTTATTTAGAAAAAATATTTGTTCTGTTAAAAGAAACTACAGTAGAATCTCTTTAGAGCGAAAATTATTTATTTATATTCATCTGCACAAATTTTTCATTTTAATTTAAATAAGTACTACAGTAGAACCTTTCCTAGCGAACTTTTTCGCTTTTCAGATTTTTTAAAGAGGTAAAAAGTGCAAAAAAACCAAGTTACGTTTAGAAAAACTGTGAATTTAATATAAAGTGTAATCACTTTCGAAAAAAGTGATTAAAATAATAGAGAAAAATAGAATCCACGGGAGGTCCGACTGTAGAGACAATTTTTCGTATAATTTGTAAATAAAAATAAATTATTTCTTAATTTAAAATTAAACACAGTAACATTTACATTATCCATCACTTTTCTAACGCAACTTGATGTTTAATATATTTACCGAAAATGATAAATATTTTGAAAAGTGTTTTGAGAGTTTTAACTGTAATGCATATTTTTATTTATTTATTTCTTAAAAACCTTAAGTAACAACAAAAAAAAAATTATAAAGATAATGTTTGTCACATAAATTTATATACAAGAAAAAAAAATAATTTTTATTTTGGAAAGAGAAGCAAGAAAAGACAGAAAAAAAAGTTACGCACTATTATTGATAAAATTACGTAATTTTACATCAGGTGAAAACAAATTTCTATGCAAATTTCAAATACTGATAATTTTATATATATTTTTAGAATAAATTCAGTTCCAAAATTAATTCTCATTCCTCTCAGTCGAGAGCCATTTATAGGCAAAACGTTATAAGAGTTCCATAATCTTTCAAAAAAATAAAAATTCATTGGGAAATTTTTTTCTTAAATGTTAAATACCTCTTTCTAACTTGATTTGAGATTTTTGTTTATTATATTTTCTTTTATATATTATAATATATATTTATATATTATTACTCAAAAATATATTTTTGAAATTTTTTAAACAAAATTTTAAAAAAATTGAATGAAAGTGAAAGAAAAATTTGTATTAAAAATAAGAACATTTTTTTTTCTTTTTTTTTTGAGAGAGAGAGAGAGAGAATTGCAATAAACGAACCTGCATTTTCGCGGTGACTAAATCTGCAATGTGACGTCGATCTTCTTCCTGAGAGTCACCCATTAACGACAGAGCGCTATCATTAACTTCAATCATGTATTCCTTTCCATCTTTTCCGACTAAAAGTTCAATAGCACAAATATCCAAACCGCCGAAAAGTAGCGCCACGTGATCCACCCACGCGCGATGTCTTTCAGTCACCGCGAGTTGTTCTAGCATGGCAGATCCGGTATTAGATTTCCAATTTCCACTGATGCTCTTGCGCCTGGAATTCCAAAGAAATCCTCCTTTATAAACAATTAATATTAATTGCTCATTAGAAATAATTAATTATTATAATTCATTAATTATCTACTAAATTTAAATAATTAATTATTATAATTCATTAATTATCTACTAAATTTAAATAATTAATTATTATAAATCATTAATTACTAAATTTAAATAATTAATTATTAAAAATCATTAATTACTAAATTTAAAAAATTAATTATTATAAATCATTAATTACTAAATATAAATAATTAATCATTATAAATCATTAATTACTAAAAATAAATAATTAATTATTATTAATCATTAATTACTAAATATAAATAATTAATTATTATAAATCATTAATTACTAAAAATAAATAATTAATGACTATTCATAAATTATTAATTACTAAATTTAAATAATAAATTATTAATTTATTATAAATCATTAATTACTAACTATAAACAATTAATTACTGATTATGAATTATTGATTACTAATTACGTAGTTTTGATAACTAATTAGTAATTTTAAATTATTAATTACTAATCACAAAGCTTTGATTACTAATTAGTAATTATAAATTATTAATTTCTAATTATAAATATTGAAATAGAAATAATTAATTAGTATAGGTATAAATAAAGGTATAAATAAATAGGTATTAATTTTCTCTAAAATCGCTAATAATTATAAAAAATGTATTTTTGCTATTAATCATCAACACGATAAAAGAATTCAATTATTTTTTAAAAAAAATTATAAAATTCATCCAAAATTCAATTATTTTCATAAATAATAAAATTTCGACAGGAATTCAATTAATTTAGAATAGAATTTTTAAAAAACTTTCGAAAAAATCAATTATTTAACAACATTTTTATACAATTCTTCACAATAATTCAATTACTTTCACTAATAATATTTTTCATGAAAATTCAATTTTAAAAAAAAAATTTTTGACAAAATTCTAAGCAAGTATTCAATTATTTTCATAAATAATAAAACTTATAGAAGAATTTCAATTATTTTTAATACTATTTTAAATAAATTAATCGAAAAATTCAGTTATTTTCTCAAATAAAATTTTCCAGAAGAATTCAATTATTTAAAATAAAATTTTCATAAAATTTATTATGTTTCGAAAAATTAATTAATTAAAATAATGTTTATTAAAATTTTTATGAAGAATTTAATTATTTTCAAAAATAACAAAATTTTTCACAGAATTTCAATTCTTTTGAATCATTTTAATAAAATTTTTCGCAATAATTCAATTATTTTCATACATAATAAAATTCTTCTCTGAAATTCAATTATTTTTGAAAATTTTAATAAAATTCTTTGCAACTATTCAATTGTTTTCATGGCAGAAATTCATGGCAGGATTTCAATTATTTTTAATACAATTTTTCAGGAATTGATCAAAAAATGTAATTATTCTTAAAAAAATTAATTTCAATTCCTTGAAAAAATCAATTATTTAAAAAAATGTTTTTTTAAAGTCTTTGGAAGAATTCAATTATTTACAAAAATATTAGAATTTTTAGCAGGAATTAAATTATTTTCAAATATTATAATATAATTGTTTGAAAGAAATCAATTATTTTAAATACAATTTTAATTAAATTTTTTCAAATAATTCAATTATTCTTTTAGATTTTAATGCAATTCCTCCCAAGAATTCAATTATTTGCATAAATAATTCTTCGAAAGAATTCAATTATTAAAGATAAATAAGAAAATTATTCCCGAAAATACAATTATTTTGAGGTATTTTAATAAAATTCATTGCAATATTTAATTATTTTTATAAATAGCCATATTTATCACAAGAATTCAATTATTTTTAAAAGTAATAAATTTCTTCTTGGAAATTCAATTATTTAAAAAAATTCCAATAAAATCGTTCGCAAGAGTGCAATTATTTTCATAAATAATAAAATGCTTTTTAAATTTTTAATTAAATTCCTGTGGAATTTTTATTATTTTTGAAAATAATTAAATATGTTTGTGTACAATTTTATTAAAAAAATTTTTTTTTTAAATTGAATTCTTTTTGGAAAATTATTAAAATATTAGATATTGAAAATAATTGAAATGAGAAAAATTTTTGAAAATAATTGAAATTAGGACAAGAATATTGTCATTTTTTAAAGTAATTCAAAAAGAATTTTGTTATTTACAAATATAGTTGGGATTTTGACGAGAATTTTTTTTTTAATTTTGAACATAATTGAATTTTATGAGAAGAATTTTATTATACTTTTGAAAATAATTGAATTTCTGCAATTCTTTTCAAAATAATTGCAGAAATTATTTCTCCAAAATTGAATTTTTTTTACTATTTGCAACAAAAATTTGAATTAAAAATTTTTAAATTCTATTATTTTTAAAATTTGTAATATTATTTTGAAATGTAAGTAAGAAGTTAGACTCGCGCTTAAGCGCGCAAATTGTTGCTAGTCGTTAATAATTATAAAAAATTTACTTTTTCCATTGACCACCAGTTTTCATTTAGTCGAATATTTGGCCGAATTTAGTTTTTAATAAAAATTCTCTTCGAATTCAGTTAAATAGAAATTCGTCATAATTTGAAATGTAAATAAATAAGTAAAAAATAAATATAAATAAACGATAAAAAGATAATAAATAGATTGTAAATAATTAATAAATAAATAAAAACTAGAAATTGATAATAAATAATAAAGATGTAAATAATTAAATAATTAGTTGACAATAAAAAGATAGTAAAGAAAAAAAATAGATAATAAATAAATAATAAATTAAATAGTTCCAAAATCAATACAAATTCCTCCCTCTGGAGCAAACATAAAATAAAATAAAAAGTTACGACCAAAATTTACGATTCTCAATATTTTGCTCGACGCTACGTATATATGTTTAACAATAAAAAACATTTTACTATATGGGGTTGTAAATAATTGTTAAATAGAGAAGTTATTGCCCTTGAATTCTACATAAACGAATACGTGTTAGTTCGCATGTATATGAGATATATATAATAGAGAAAGATGGCATTGTTCTAAGCACGTACATAAAAGCCTTGTAGTTGTTTCCAATCTTCTGAACATGAACGTCATACTTGGTGTCAATGTACGGTTCGGAAGTACAATAGGCATTCGTCATTGCTGCTAATGAAGAAAGATCTAAAAATTCTTGACTTGTCTCTGCTCGAGCTTTTCCAATACCGCCATGTGCATGTCCTAATTTTATCACCGCTGGATATCGACTCGCGTTCACCTGCAACGAAAAATGAGAAAAAAATTATTTTATTCATTAATTTTTAACAATTATTTATTTTGTTTATTATTATGTTTATTACTTATTTATTTTGTTACTTATTTATTTTTTGTATTAATTTTTTTAATTCTCAATTATTTATTTTATTTATTTTATTTATTAATTTTATTAATTACATATTTATTTAATTAATTTTACGAATTATTTACTTTACGTAACAATTAAAATTCTAAAACATATTTTGAAAAATCGATTTTTCCAAAAATACCGCAAATTGCCAAACTGGGAAGACTCGAACCTCAGACCCTGAGTTCCGTACGCTGCGCCTTAGCGATTATGGCTATCGTCAACTTTTTTTTTTTTGTACACTTTTTTCCTCAACGAAATTCAACGAATTTTTTTCTCCTCCCCCCTTTTGTTCACACATTTTTTTCTCCCCACAAAATCAAAAATAGAATTCTCCAAAATATGCAATATAATAATATACAAAAAAATATGCTTTCTTCCCCTTTTTCTCATTATTTGTTGATTTCCAGCTTTTCCACAGAATTTTGAAGTGTTTTTCATATACAAAATTTTTTTTTTTTTTGCACTTATATAAGCAAGTGCCCTCAATCTTGTTGTGAAGGAAAAAAGAAAGAATGAAGAGAAGAAAAATGTTAAAACCCACGTAAGAAATGTTTGAGTAAATAGTGCGAGTATTGAGAAGTGAATGGACCAATGTTGAAAAAAAAATGAGGAAAAAAAAAATGTGAGCGAACACCGCGATGATAGAGTTGAGAGAGAGAGAGGGGGGAGGGGAGGGGATAGGAGATTCAAACAAAGTTGGAGAGGAAGATGATGATGTGAGGACCGTATCACAAGAAGCAAAGCTGCCAATTTCGCTGAAGAAGCGCGCGAGAGAGAGTTCATGACGAGTGACTCGATCTTTTCTTTTTTATGACGTGCCTCATAATAACGCGTTTCAAAAACGGTTCGTTTGTTTATTTATTTATTATTCAAATTATTTGGAAAATTATTTTTCAATTGTTATTTGGTGTCGTGAAAGTTCAATAAATAAAAATAAATATTGCAACAATAAATTATGATTTAATGCTGCTGCTAAATAAATAAAATAAGAAACAATAATACTAATGGTAAACAATAAAAATAATAATAATAATAATAATAATGATAATAATAATAATAAACAATAAAAAGAATACAAAAAGTAAACAATAAAAATAATACTAATAATAAACAATAAAAATAATATTAATAATAAACAATAAAAATAACACTAATAATAAATAATTTCGCTGCCAATTCGGTAATAATACAATAAAAAATTAAATGCCTAAAATTAATTAAAAAGTTAATAAACAAATAGAATAAACAAATGGAATAATTTAATAACGAAACAGAGTAAACAAATAATTATCGGTTATTAAAAATAACAAAAAACTGAAGAAAGTAAATAAATAAACAAATTATATTATAATTAGTATTATAATTAATAGAAAATATATTATAATTTAATATTTGAGAAATAAATAAAATATTGTTACTAATTATTGTTACTAATAAAATAAAAATAATAATAAATTAATTAACAAAAAATAGTTGGCAAATAATTAAAACAACAAAAATAGGAAAAAATAAATAAACAATTACTAAATAACTAAACAAATAGAAAAAAATGAATAAAATGACAATAATTAATAAACAAATAGAATAAACAAAATAAATTAATAACTTATGTGGGAATAGAGTAAACAAATATTTGATAATTCAGGAAAACATAAAAATAACCAATAAAGGAAGAAAATTAATAAATACTTTATAAATAAATAAAATAGATTGTTGCTAATAAAATAAATAAAAAGAAAATAAATTAATTAATAGAAAATAGTTGCGGCAAATAAATAAAGTAACAAAAATTTGCATAAAATAAAGAGAAAATTAATAAACAAATAAAAGAAACGAATAAAATGCAAATAATTAATAAACAAATATAATAAACAAATATAGTAAACAAATTTAATAAACTAAGAACTAATAAAGAAACAGTAAAAAAATAATTAATAATTGAAGATAATATAAAAATAACCAATGAGGGAAAAAATAAATCAATTAATAAATAAATAAAATAAATTGTTACTATAATAAAATAAAAAAATGTTATAAATAAAATAAAAAATTGTTACTAATAAAATAATTAAAAATAATAAAAAATAATTAATCAAAAATAGCTTCGGCAAATGAATAAAGTACCAAAAATAATTCAACAAAATAGTGAGTTAATTATAACAAAAAGTTAAAAAATAAAAAAAATTTCGATAAAATAATTTTCAAAAAGTGTAATTTTGTTTTCCAAGTAGTGATAAAATTATTTGTTCCCATTTCTAGAATTTTTTTGGTTTTTTCTCAATATAATTAATTATACAGCCTTTTAAAAATACAATTTTCAAATTAGGAAATTCACTTTAAATTTTTATGAAATAATATGAAATAATTTTCTTAAATTACCTATATAATTAAAGTCTCATTTAAAATAAGAAGTTTTCCTCAGAATAATTTATTTTCTTATCAAAATAAATAAAAGCAACTTGTTAGTTTTTTTTTCTAATAAAATGTATTTCTTGTATTTTCTACTTGTATGTATATATTTAGATATAAAATATGCGGAGTAATTACTGAGCAAGTTTGATAACGAAGAAATTCCCTCTTGTTAGTGTCAGAAGTAGATTAACAGAAGTAAGTCGAGTAATTATGATTAATCATGATTTATTGATATTTTAGTGCTCAAAATCGAAATCAGAAATGAATCAGTGAATTATTTTATACGTGAAAATGTGCTTTTCACTTCATTTTCACTTAATAGTCTGGTGACGATTATTTAAATTATTTATAAATTTATTCATTTTTTTCAAGTCTGTATAAATAAATAATCAACAATTGGGAGAAGAAATAAATAAATTGTATTTTTCTAAACATTTATAAATTATTGAAAAAAAAATTTTTTTATTCAAATAACAATCATTTAAAGAACAATTATTTGAATAATTTTTTAATTCAAATAACAATTATTTGCAATTATTTAAATAACGATTATTTAAATAAAAATTAAACTGAAAAATATTCAGTAATCGAAAAATAAAACTATAATAAAAATAATTATATTTAACAATAAATTTATTATAAATTTTTAAATTTATTTAACAATAAATTTATTATGTATTTCTAATTTATTTAACAATAAATAATTATAAAAATCAAAATAAAGAATATTCAGTATTTGAAAATTAAAACCTCGAATAAAACTAAGCTAAACTAAAACTAATTAAAAATTTATTGTAATAATATTATTATTTAATATAATATTTATTAATAATATTGTTAATAATACAATAAATAAAAATATATCTAAACTAAAGGAAATATGTAAAAAATTTGGTTTTAATATTGTTTTTCTGTTATTTTCCTAATGCTTTATTGTTGCATTTTTTCAAAATTATGAAAAAGTGACTACGTGACAAAAAAAAGTGAAAATTAAAAATATTTAAATATATTTAAATATTTAAAAATGTTTTTCTTTTAAAGTAGTAAAATGTGTCTAATTTTATAAAATTTTTTTACATTTTCCTCTTCTTTTATAAATGTTTATGTGATAAAAAAACAGTTTTGTTTATTATTTTCAGTTGTCGCCAATAATGTTCACGTGTATTTTTGCTAATGTTTAAAAAAAAACAAATTTCATCACATTTTCAAGGTGAGTACCTATCGGCGTTTTTAATTTTCAAACAAATAATACATTTATTAAATCAATATACACATAAAAATGTTTATTCATATTGGAATTATTTATTATCGAAAAAAAGAGAAAGAAGAAAAATACCAGTTTTATTAAATATATATGTATTTTGAGGAAAATTTTATCCAATATATTTGATTAAATTTTTCTGGTTTTTTTTTGCAGTTATATTATTTTTTTATTGCGAGGAAAAATATTATAAATTATTATTAAAATGCAAATAATTTGAATAGAATAAATTCACTTGTGCGATAGGAAAAAAATACGCAATTAAATTGTTAATAAAATATTGAAGTAGAAAAATTAATTTCACATTTAAATAAATTGATATATAGACGAAAAAAAATTATCTTAGTCAATAAATATCTAGAGGAAAAAATATCTCAAAAAATAAGTATCATAATAAATAGGTACCTAAAAAAAGATAATCTGTAAATAAATAAATATCTCTAAATAAAAAAATACCAAAATCAATAAATTCCTAAATAAATATGTAAATAAATAAATATCTAAATAAAGAAATACCAAAATCAATAAATTCCTAAATAAATAAATATGTAAATAAATAAATATCTAAACAAAAAAATACCCAAATCAATAAATTCCTAAATAAATAAACATAAAAATAAATAAATACCTAAATAAACAAATATGTAAATAAATAAATATCTAAATAAATAAAATTTAACAAAATTAAATGGACCGCGGAAAAAATTAATTTTCAAATAATAATAAGGAAGATGCAATATTATTTTTATTCCCCTCCCTCTTTAATAAATAAACAAGGAAAATTTGAAGAAATTTACCAAAAATTCGAAAAAAAAATAATCAAATTCTTTTGATTAAAAAATAACAAGCAATATTAACATAAAAATTACATATGTGAATTTACTGATGCAAGCTCACGAGCGTATATAAGAGATTGTGGTCCAGAATATAATAGCGGTATTACGAAGGAACTGGGGCAGTCTTGCTTTGACTCGCGCCTTAGACGTTCCTACCTGATTTATATATTTTCATTTCTTCATTTTTTTTTTTATTCAAAATTATAATTTCAAATAAATTTTTCTGATTTAGTGAATTTTCGTGTTACAGTGAGTGTACATTATATATATGTGATTTTTTTTTTTGAGAATTTATTTCTATCAAAAATAAATAAGTGTCCCTCGCACGTATATTAAACTCCCATTGGGAGAGAATTCATTTGGGAAAGGTCAGTAATTTTATGTATGACAACAATATAAATAGTAATAAATAAATAAAAATATTTGATAATAAACTACATAAATAATTAATATTTAGCAATTAATAAATAATTAATAATCTCTCAATAATTTATTTAGGTTGTAAATAAAAATTATTTTTAAATTTGTATTTTCATATTTTCGAAAAACGTCGACTTGGGGTTATTAATAATTTATTTAATATGTTTTGTAATTTATATAACTAAATATGTTATTTCAATGGGCAAACATAATATTTACATATAATTTCAATATTTGTAATTTGTCATTTTCGATTAATTATGTTTGCTCTCCCTGGCATACGCAGAGTTCGAGGATTTATGTACTTAAACTTTGGCTTGTCATAATAATAATAATATAAAATAATAATAATAAAAAAAAATAATTTTATAAAATAATAATAATATTATTTTGTTAAAATAATAAAAATAGTCTTTAATATTGTAATTATTAATAATAATTTTTTTCTTATTATTATTATTACAAAAATAATTCTAAGTAATTTTTATTTATTTCCTCCATATTTTATTTTGTAGATGTTTACATACTTTTTAATTTTAATAACAAATATTATTTATTATTTCTACACGCTTTAAAATTTTAATTAATAAAAATGTTTACTAATTTAAATTAGTGCCCGACTTTTTGCTTTTGAATTTGTAAATTTATAATTAAATTAGTGAATTAAATTAGTAAATTACTAATAAATAGTAATTCCTACTAATTTATTAGTAAAATTGAGTATTAATTTTACTAAATAGTAAATTTTATTAATACTAATTAGTAAATTTTATTAATATTAATTAGTAAATTAATACCTTAATTATAATTAGTAAATTGTACTAATAAATCGTGATTTCTACTAATTACTAAGTTAGTAAACATTTTTACTAATTCAAAAATTTAAAGAGCATTATGTTATTCTTATTATTATTTTTGTCTGGTATATTTGTTAAATAAATACATTATTTTTATTATTAACGTCGTGTGAATAATATAATTATTATCATCATTATAAACTAATAAAAAATTTTTTTGTTAATAAACAAAACAGAATTGAAATATTTTTTAAGTGTAGAGTTTAGTGTAAAGTATAAAATTTAATTCTTTAGTCGAAAATTTAATTCTTTGGCAGAAAATTTAATTCTCTAGTGGAAAATTTAATTCTTTAGTGGAAAATTTTACTCTCTAGTGGAAAATTAAATTCTTTACTGGAAAATTAAATTCTTTAGTGGAAAATTTAATTCTTTAATAGAAAATTTTATTTTCTAGAGGAAAATTTAAATTTTCACTAAAGAATAAAATTTTTCACTGAAGAATGAAATTTTCCACTAAAGAATTAATTATTTATTTGTTGGAAAATTTAATTCTCCAGTGAACAATTTTATTTTTTAGTGAAAATTGAATTTTTTTAATATAATTCTTAATTCTATAGTGTAAAGTTTAATTAAAATCTATTAAACTAATTGTCCAATGGAATTTAATTAAACATTTTTTTTTCAAAGGAGAAAGAAAATATAAAAGAGAAGAAATTGTTCATTAGTTGAGTCCTGATTTTTCGCAGGACACTTTTTATTAAATTCTGGTACTTCTATAGTTAAAGGAAATTGCAAGTAGAAGGGGGGGGGACTTCATCTTTTACAAGTGATAATTTCCGTTCATGACTTAAACTACTCCGGTGTTGAAATGAGACTCTATAGCAAAAGTTTCATTAAAGATTTCAATTTCAAGGAAATATTAACAAATATCCCTTCTCCATAAACTTGTTAATTGCCCTCTTTTTGTAAATATAAAACAATAGAAAAGTGTCTTTAAAATATTATTATTATAAAAAAAATATTGCTTGGAATTTAACGGAAAAAGTGTCAAATAAAAATTATTATTATTATTATTTTATTATTATTATTATTATTATTATTATTATTATTATTATTATTATTATTATTATTATTATTATTATTATTATTATTATTATTATTATTATTATTATTATTATTATATTTTTATTATTATTATTGTTATTATTATTATTAATTCTTGTTATTGTTATTATTATATTATTTCCCTTCTTATAAATTGCAAAAAAAAAATTATTTCACAATTTATAAAAGGCGAAATATTCTTTAGAAAAAAAAATTAATTATTTAATAATAACGCAATGGAAACTTTATCAATTATTCAAAACTAGCGAAATGGATTTTTGGAAAAAAAATTTAAGCACGACAAAATTAATTAAAAAATATTCCTTGAAAAAATGTTAATAAAATAAAGAGAGAAATATTTACAAGTCAAAGAATTCTAAAACTTTGGCAAAAAAAAATTATTCCTCTCCGATCATAATAATTAATTAAAAATAAAATTCCTGATGTGGGGGGTCGACTATAAATTTTCCCCTCAAGACATGATGTAATCATTATAATTTTATAATTATATATCTTCTGCTTCTTGAATTCAGATTATAAAGGTGATTCATTATGCGAATCTGGAACTCGGAACAATTCGCAACTAATTTTATCACCTAATTTTCTTTTCGCCTCCCAAACATTATTCACTTTTATTAGCAAGCCGGGTAATAAATATAAACAATCATTAAATAAATAGCAAAAGAGAGAAAAAAATATAGAAAAATGATAATATTATTTTTTTTGAAGACTTTTCAGTCATATTTCATTTTTTATTTTAAATTTAAAAAAAAAAAATTTTTTTAAATTTAAAAAAAGATTTTAATTTTAATTTAAAAAAAAAATTAAATTTGACTGAAAAGCTTTATAAATTTACTCACATTAAATATTGAACGGTGACTAAATTCATGAAAATACAAATACAATTTAATTGACTCAAGTAAAAATTATTTGATGCAAGTAAATATTTATTTGAATCAAATAATTTTTTTTCAGTGTAGCTAATTATAATATAATAATGAAATTAATTATAAATATAATAATAATAATAACAACAACAATAGGTAATATTAGTGACAATAATAATAATAATATTAAAAATAAACAAAACAGTTCAAAGAATAATTTTTCTATTTATTATTTTGTTTATAATATTTTCCATAATAAAAATAAAATTTCAAGAAAGTGGATGAATAATCAAAAATAAAATGAAACTTAATCTTTATTTTCGTGTTAATTGTAATAAAATTAAAAAAATTAGATTTAATGAAAAAATCATTTTTTCATTAAGAATAATAAATGTGAAAAAAATAATAAATACAATAATGAAATTAACGAAAAATACAATAAAAGTAATTAATTTAATAATTCAATAATTATAAAAAAGAAATTTATTTTGAAGTTAAAAAACAACCGTTTATAATAATAAATTTTGAGAAATAAAAAATAAAAATCCGGTCTAATATGAAAATTCGATTCAAATTAGAAATTCTAGATTTACTTTGAATTTCGTATTAATAATTGCTATTATTTATTTATTTAATTACTTATTTATTTGGTTATTTCTTTACTTAAATATATTTATTTATTTATTTACTTATTTTCTTACTTATTTGTTTACTTATTTATTTACATATTTGTTTATTTATTTGCATATTTGTTTATTTATTTATTTACTTATTTATTTACATATTTGTTTATTTATTTACTTATTTTTTTATTTACATATTTCTTTATTTAATTATTTAAATTCCAGACGTTTTTACAGTTACTAAAAAAAAAGTATTAAAAAAAAAAAAATGAGAAAACAGCTTTTTTTCTCCTTCTCAACTATTTTTGAAAGGTGTAAAAATTAATTTGTGTTGAATTTTCTTCAAGTGGTACTTTAAGCACATATGTATAATATGAATCTGCGTAATTCTGACCTTGACCCTGAGAGTCCCTATGGGCTTCTCACATTCCAATGTAACGCAACAAACGATGGAGTAACCATACATACGTCCTCACATACGTACAACCACAAAAAAAACACACATGTAGAAAAAAAAATCGTCGTTAGGATTTTTGATCACAAGAATTACACACATAAGAATAAAGTAGATTTCAGGGTCTCTCACGTTTGATATATTGCGTCTAATCAACTTTAATGATAATTTATACATACTCGTGTGTACTTTATTCATAAATAATTGGCTGATTATTTTTATTTCTTTTTTAAATTTTTCACTACTCTAATATTGCATTTTATTGTTCTTTAAATTTATTCTTCTTAATTCAAAAAAATGTGTCGTGTCTCATTTTTTAGTTTGCTATTTTTTTTCTTTTTTTTATTTGCAAAAAAGTAATGTCATTGAATTTTTTTAAATTTATTTATTTCTTAAAAGTCAATTTTATTTATATATTTGTTTATATTTTCTTTCATTTTTCTCTATATTTGGATTTTATTTTTGTTTGCAGTTTATATATTTTTATTATAGTTTATGTTTTTTTGTACAATTTATATTTATAGTTTATTTATTTTTGTTGTTTCTATTTTGTTTTAATTTTTTTGTTTTGTTTGTATTTCGTTTTCATTTTGTTTGTATTTTTAATTTATTTCTATTTTTGTTTCTATTTTTGTTTTTACCTTTGTCAATATTTTTTTCTTATGTTTTTGTTTATATTTTGTTTATACTTTCATTTGTATTTTGTTCATATTTTTATTTATATTTTTATTGAATTCTGTTTTTACTTTTATTTTATTTATGTATTTTTGTATATTTCATTATTTTGTGAACATTTTTCCACTTTTGAAAGTAAAAACCTAATATTATGTTTAGTTATCTCATAAAAATATTTTTTCAAATAATAAATGAATTTTTTATTTCATAAAATACTTTTTTCTATAAAATATTTTTTGTTTTCTTTATTTAATTATTATTTTTTGAATAAAATACAATTGTTTATTAATTAATTTACTAAAATACACTATTTGTTTGCTATATTTTATTTTCTAAAATACAATTTGTTTATTAATTTATTTACTAAAATACTATTTGTTTATAATTTCAATTAAATTAAATAAAATA